GGGAGGGGGTGGTAATAATTAAAAAATATAAACCTGAAATTAAAGATAACATTGACATGAGTGGGTATAAGAGTGATAGAAATTTCTTTGAAATTCCTAGGCATTGTGCGGATGTGAAAAAGTATCTAAGAATAAAAATGACTTGATTGTCCATTCAGTTTTAAGAATAAATGAATTTTTTGGAGATTGAAAGATGACCTTAATGTTATCATATAAAAGGTAAGCAACTGAAGCATTATAATGTTTATTAGAGAGGACTTTACTCATTGGGTTGGGTAAGACATGATGCTAGGAGAAATGGTTGCGTTGGTATTAAAAAAACTAGGAAGTAACTAACAATAATAGTTGCAATTTCAAGAGCAATGGAGAAGTAACTAAAAGAAGTGGTGAGCTTCTTAATACAATTACATATAATTCTTTCTTCTGTAAATCATGAAAATAAAATTGTGTAATCATTTCACAACTATAGTTCAACTTATTTTTTTCTTTTGGAATAAACCTAGGACTATTGAGTGAGCTAAGGCAAGCTAGTTAGCACTAGGAATCATGGCCTCAAAATTAAAGTAATGGTTAGTGGGGTGAGCATCAAGGGGAGAGCAAATATCGAGTTTACTCTCTTAAGATCGACTAATAAGTTTATAGACTTTTGAAAGTGAGAAAAAATCTTGAGATTTAAAATGCAAACTTGAGTAAATTTATATAGTTTTGTGTAAATGACAAAGATGGGGTCGCCTCATATGTCAATGTTCGATTAAGATGTAAGAAGGCAATTCCCAAATTTTGCAATTTTTTATACAAAAATTTTCAAACATCAATTTGTGATTCATTATTGAATTAACCCTAGTGAAAATGATAATGAGAGAATAAATTGAATAAATGGAGGTTGAACTTTTGCATAAGAGATATCAAAATAATCCATCTAATTTAGATTGACACAAGACCCGTGTGGTTTAATCTTAATGTAACTATATTTTAGTTATTGAATCAAGTGTAAGAGATATATTTGTAGAGAAGATTAAAAAGGTTAATGTGAATAAAAACCTTATTAATGCTTCAGATTAACGGTGTATAGATAACTAGATGAGATGATTTCAAAAGGAACACATGTGGTAGAAATATTGAGATGGAAATTTATTTCCTTCTATAAAGTTTTTTTTTTTTACCTAAAAAAACTTACATATTAAGATTGGTAAGTTAAATATGACTCTAGGAATAGTATACAAATGACTAGAAAACAAAAAACCGCTTATGTTAAAGAACATAAGTTTTTAATTGTCATAAATCTTAAAGCATCAGTGTTATCATCCAAACTAGTAATAGTTTAATTAGGAAGGGAAGAGAAGTTAAATTTTTGGACATAAATGCAAGCAAATGACAGTATATTTTTTTTCATTATATGAATCAGTTCCTTGGGTTTTCCAAATTAGCTAAAAAAGTTTTGGAAATGACATAAGGATATAAATAATAGAGGAATGCTAAGGAATTTCACCTAAATGAGGATGGAAGATGATTTGATCCTCTCTATTAGTTATTTAATTCACAGTTCACTTCATGTAGAAAAAATGGCCAGCATAAATGAATAAAGACCACCACACCTTGCAAGATTATACTTCTCATGATAAGTGAATTTAATAAGAAGAAATCCCATTATCCTTCATTTTTCAAGATTCCCTTACATACTTAAGGAGGGTACCATCGAATGGCCATTTCCCAAAGTCGTCAAACATAGTGAAACCTTACTAATTTGAGCAATCTGATAACTCATTAGTAGTAAGGAGACCATGTCATTGTTGTTGCTTTGTATGAATTTAATAGAAAATCATTTTTTACTTAAAGGAAGGTGGAAGGGAAAATTTACTTTCCATTTAAGTTCAAGTCACAGAAAGAGATAGGTGCTGAGGTCCAGCTCTGAGGATAAAAGAGTTAGGTTCTTACATGAAGTTGGATGGGAGGGGAGGGAATTCTATATTAATGATTGTAAGGTTGAAGGATGCATGTCATGGAATTAGATGCAGGTTGCTAAAATGGCTAGATAGAAGGTATATGCAGCCAAATATTAAGAATAATTAAAGAGATGAAAAATGAAGTTAGTATAGAATGAGACGAGAATGATTGGAGAGCATTTAATTGGGATAAAGAGATCCTTTTGCTTTTGCCAAAGAGTAATGAACTTGAATGAGAAGAACTAGATCTGCTAGCCGGAAAAGACATCCACCTAAAGAGATCCCACTTATAAATATTTGAGAATGATAAGAGGCGCATAAGAGGTGCACTTTTATATCTGAATTTAAAGGCTAATTTATATGTATATGTTTATAATTTGATATGAGGCTTGCAAATTAAAGTAAATTTGAGTGTAAGATAATGCTTGAGTAAACTTCTGAGGCATGCAAATATTTTTGGAGAAGATATATTTTTTGTAGCTTTGGTCTTTTAAAAATTAGATAGCACATGGGTCTCATCATAGGAAAACATTCTTTAATTTCTTCAAGCGTTTGAAATCATAATGCCATTCGATGAGCAAATTAATTGCAAGAGATAACAAGAAGGTAAGAGATTTAAAGGATACATGACATAGTAGTTGGAGATGATTTTTCTACCAAGTAAAAGAGTTGAATCACACATGCTTTTTTGCATTTTTCTATTCAAGATTCATAATAAGTAAATAATAATACAAATAAGTGAAGGAATATGATCAAGAAATGGAAGAAATAAGAGTTGATGTGCTAAGAGAAGATATTGAAAGACTGCCAATGGAATGAAGATATCATGTTGTAACACCACATAAATTCACCTACTTTGTGTCAGCCAAATCGGATGCAAATCGAACATAAATCCGAAAATATTTGAGGATTATCGCTATATTTGCATCATATTTACGTCCATTTTTTTCCTAGCGTAATTCAGGGCTCGGTAATATTAATCCCATAAATTTTATGTCAAAATATGTTGACACAAATTATTAGCGTCGATTTTTGCGTCGTCATAGCGTCAGGCTTGTTTGGTCTACACATGCGTCAAATTCTGCATCTGAAAACATTTGACGATAAATAATATCATTTGATTACCATCAGATTAGCGTCAGACCTAATTCTATGGACAACTAGTAGGATTATTGGACACAAAACGGATGCAAATCTAATGCAAAACTAAAACAAAGAAAAAGAAATTCAAAGAATCAATTACATTTCCACAACTTGCACACAATATTCACTCAATATCAAAACAACATTATATCCAGCTATATCACAAATCAAGGCTCTTAAGAATATCAATATTGAAAAAAAAGATTGTCACAAATTTAAATTATCAAAAGTTTACATCTACACCCTAATCAATATAAGATTAAACATTTCATATTAAAATTACATAAAAAATCCTTCTAATCCTCCTTCTCATCATCCTCCTCCTTATCCTCCTCCTTGTCTACAACAGTCACCGTTCGTTTGTCCCAAAGATCATCTATAATCTTGGTCATATGTGTCATACTCCACTCAATTTTCTGTTGGTCTTTACGTAGATGTTGAACTTCCTCAATCATAGCATCGACCTGCTTGACAAGCTCCACAGTACTTGGGTGTGATGAGCTCGTTCCACCCACATAAGCACGAGAGATCTCGACCTTCTTCTTCACACCACTTGCTTCCATAGCTCGAACTAAGACTGCGTAGTGGTAGACTGACTGCCACTACTGTTGGCGTGCTTGGGGTTTGTGAGGGCTACTGTCTCTCTCAGAGCTGCTTGTATTCCTTTTACCTAATAAAAGACAATTATTAATTATTGTTTCAAACATTAAGAGTTAAAATAAATACAAGGAATAAAATTTTAACTTACATTCACCCGCTGAGGTGGCTAATCACCAGCACCACCTGTGGTCATCTGTAGCAGGATTAACAACAAAAATAATGAGGAGCATTACACACAAGTAAAAGGAGGAATATGCAAAATCTAAACATGAAACATATCATAACTATGTCTAAAATAAAAATAAAAAACATGACAGTTATGACATACGTAACAAAATCAAACAAAAAGTTCATGGATATATTCGTTAAAAAAATTTGACCAGGAGATCATAAAATTTTTGCTTAAAATGACTTGAACAAAGTCAAATTAAATTTGAGTTTTGGATATTTTTAATGGGGTTTTTATATACATACCATGAAATTATTAAGTGTCAATCTGAATTAAATGTTTTGAATCGTTCATTAAGTGTCAAACAGACTCCAATACATGTTTTGAATCGTTAATTATATTAATCACAATGCAATCAACAAATTAATAATTGCTCGATTCACTAATTTTTAATCAAGTTCCACGAGCCATGGTTCAAACCTATTAGATCAATTAATTGGATTAAATCCAATTGAGACCATATAGATTCTAAATGGGTCATGTTGACTCGTTTGGTAATACCAATGGTCAAAATAGGTTGAACAAAGTTAATTAAAAGGCATCCTAAAATAGCTCAATGTTCAAGATCATAATATGTCAGCATACCTCTCCTCACATAACCATTAGCAAAGACCAAAATTTAAGTACCATAAGTCAACATACCACGATAATCTACATGTAATTCAACTTGTCTTCCTCATTGTATTTGAAAAATTAATCTTGTATATCATCATCAAACTTTTAAGCATATTTTATCCTCTTATGTAAAGAAGTATAAAACTTCTATACAAATCATCACACTAGTGAACTTCATATTTAATGTATCAACAACCATATTATTTTTATCAAGCTAAAATATAATTATGAGATTATAATTTTTTATCAACCAGAACATTCGATTCTTTTTTAAGTTCAATTTTATCAAAGTGAAGGTTAATTTAAGTTCCAAAGATCCATATAAATCTCACATCTCATTTTATACAAATATTATCTTCAAATTTTCAATACAAATACAATAGTTACCAATTCCAAATAAAAAGTTAGGGTGATTTTCTTCATGTGGTTTCAATTATCGCATAACATATGCAATAACTCTCCTATACTCCTAAAACTCACAACGCAATCATCTCAAAGAAACATCATCGAGCATTTTGAATGTTTTAATATTAGATAGAATAGTTTCATAAACTAATATAACAAAAACTAAAAAAAATACTTAGAATCAAATCTTAATTAAACTACATTCAACGTAAAACTAAACTTAAAATCTACATTACTTCAAACCTAATCTTAAGCTAAAGCTAAAATATGCATAATCATGGGGTTAAAGTCAAATGTAAATCATTAACAAAACTAATTAAATCTAAAATTGAATGACTCACGCAAAAAAAACACTCAGCCATCCAATCCTAGTTCAATTCAAAACCCTAAAACCAATTCTAATCTCACCCAAACCATCTTTTATACAAAGCTAATGCTCAATGTTTATCTATATAAAAAGTAAGAATGTAATATATACCACTCATTATTTATGTATGTATATATACATAGCTAACACCTAATTTTATGCATATACATTTTTAACTCCTAAACTTCAAATGTTACATATAAACCACTGAAATCTTCTGGCTATACATTCCTAAAACCTAAATTTCAAATGTTACATACATAACAAAATTTTAAAAAGGAAAAAATGGTGTGAAGTTACCTTTTCCGATCCTCTCACAAGAGGCGAAGGGTTATGTTCGTGACGGGGTTTCGGTGGCTAGAGGGAGCTACGACGACCGGTGATGGGGAGGTGTGAGGATCGGCGACCGTTGATGGCGAGAGGAAGTAGAGGAGATAATAGAGTTTTGGTTGTCGCGGGAGGGAGAAGAGAAGACGGATGTGTGAAGAAGAAAATAAATTGGAAGGCATGAGACGAGTTTTTTAGGTCTATTGCATCAGATTTATTGTCTACTTTGCATTGTTTTTTTTATGCTTTTAAGTAAAGCTTATGCGTCGATTTGTTTGACATGAGACGAGTTTTTAAGGTCTATTGCATCAGATTTATCGTCTACTTTGCATTGTTTTTTTTTTAATGCTTTTAAGTAAAGCTTATGCGTCGATTTGTTTGATGCAAATCCGATGCAGAAAATGCATCAAAAAGATCATTAATTTTGTCGTTGTCTGTGTCTAATATTCAGACGTAAATTTGATACAATTTCCAACGCAAGTAGAACAAATTGATGTTCAACACAAATCAATTGCAAAATCTAATGCAAAATTTTGCATGAAAAATTTTTGACTCAAAATGTTGACGCTATAGCGTAAGAAGTTCACAAAAGAGACAGGTAACCATGAATAAGATCCGTATAATTTAAATGACAATAAAATTTGAAAATCAATAAGCAATTCTTGGTTTGGTATTTCTTTCCTATTTTTATAGGAAGAAATTTTCTTGACTCTTAGGGCTAAACTCTATCCTAATATTGTACCTTTAATTTTAATCTTGTTAGTTATGACCATAGTTTATTACCCGGTCCTCAATGAACACTAACAAGATTCCTTAAATCTTATTATATTTCATTATAAATTTTTAAAAAATGTTTTTAAAGGAAAATACATGTTTAACAGGACACTTTATTTTTGTATTCTTTTTATGATTTAAATTCTTGGCACAATTTACTTATTTCAAATTTTTTTTAATAGATCAATTAAATTTATTATGATAACTAGCTGTCTAATTAGAAAGATATGATGCCTTTTTTGCATACATGATCAGGAGGAAGCACAAAATCTAAACGAGGCCAATGTTGTGAGGCAGCTAATGAACGAGGCACCAAATCAGAGCTAAGAGACTTGGAGGGGCCACAAAACAAGAGCCTCACAAGAGATCTGTGATGAGCCATGATGTACAAACTAACCAAGAAAAAAATTGTTGAAAATAAAAGGTGTGATTACTTAAAAAGAGCTATTATGTAGAAAAATGAGGACCAAATGGTTAGAAATCAAAATGTTAGCTATGGGACTCATAATCTCAAAGAAGGTAATTAAGAGGTTAAGGCCCATAAAGAAGTAAATATAAAAACAAGGACAACTATCAAGACAAGATCCTAGGTTGTGCTGTAAATATTAAAGGACAAGTGAAGCAAAATGCCTTTATGTTATCTAGTTAAGGAATACAATGATTGCAATTAAGGCCAAGATCCTAGGTTGTGCTGAAAAGATGCAAGAGAAAAACACATTGGTGAGGCTTACCAATGATATGGGGTGAAGTTCTGATAATCTCAATTATGGATTAAAATGAAGATGATCGAAGGATCCCAAACTATTCTAGAGAAAGTTCATGATGCAAATAAATCAGAATAGATTGGTTTAGGGGTTGGGAGTCTCTTGCAAAACAAAGGTCAAATAGTTATTGAAATTTTTGTTGTTAGTAAATCATCATATCATCTAATTTACTTTCAAGCTAAGTCATAATCATTTTCATTAACTACTACATAAGGTTTTCCCACTCCATTCCTATATGATAGTTAACTTATAGAAGTATGTAATTGTACTAATTCATCATTTTTCTAAAATTTTAATACAAAAGCTATTTTTATTTACGATTATAAAATCTATGATGACCCATACTCTAATTGTAATGTTTATTTGTTATTTCCAAGTAATAAAAATATTTTATTGAAGTTTGAATTCCACCACTATCTTTACTACTCGGATCATAAATATAGAGAAACTCATTAGAAGACTGGCAAGTGGACTCTAGAATTTAATGTATTTCATGAATGACCTATTAATCTTTTTAGAATTAATTCTTTCTCATGTCTAGATCCATATCTTTGATCAAATGGATTTCTTTTCTTTGGCTACTATATTTGGCAATCCCTTCCTAATTACTGCACTTACTAAGCCATCCATTAGTAGGATGCTAGTTAAATTTAATTTATATTAACGGTATTTTCAATTATATATTGATTATCTCACATTTAAGTTGATATAAATAGAGATTATGGATGAAAATAACTTCCAAACTTACTTTTCTACAAGCTTTAGACATGATGGCATTTCCACTACTTCTAGCATTCTCATCTCCAAAAATTTCCAAACCACTCATCCATATTAAGGTTAAGTTTATAAAAGCGCTCTAACCCAGTCAAATTGATCAACGTTATGAAAAATAAAGTCCCATCACTACACAAGAGCCTTGATTAGTTTCCTACAAAATAGTGACCCATCAAAATGTGAAATTGACTATGGTTGTCTTCTTTATTTGGATGGGTTTTCTTTTTTTAGAATATCTTCTCTTTTGTTGTTACAATTTTATGTTTTTTCCTTGCAACACAGGGTCACTATTTTTATGCTTGATTTTAATAATTTTGTGTGTGTGTGTGTGTGTGTGTGTCTTGCAACACAGGGTCACTATTTTTATGCTTGATTTGATCCTCCTTTTAAAGATATGCAAGCAATTTCTCTTATTTCAATGAAAAGTTTAATAATTTTGTGTGTGTGTGTGTGTGTGTGTGTGTGTGTGTGTGTTATTTTTATTCTATCTAGATTATTGAAAACAGTGATCAAGTGTCTTTAAACTTTAGTATTCAACTTTGTAAAAAAATTACTTCTCAAACATATATTTTAACCAACACTAAAAATCAATCTTTTCTCAATAAAAACATAACTTTTATGTCAAGTTTTTGAAAAACAATCTCAATTTTACTCAAAATATTTAAAGAAGTTTTAGCTTAAATGAATATTAAGTCCAAAAATTATATAGATTAAATATAACTTCAGATTCTAATAATCATTTAATGATATTAATTGTAATAAAATGCACTAACTTGCTAGCATAGAGACATCTGCTTCCAAAAATTATATAGATTAAATATAACTTCAAATTCTAATAATCATTTAATGATATTAATTGTAATATAATGCACTAACTTGCTAGCATAGAGACATCTGCTTCTTACTAATTTATACATGTCCATAGAAAATCAAAAGAAGATTTTCCCTAATATAAAGCTATATAGTGACAATTGATCACAAGTATATATATATATATATATATATATATTGAATAGGTTGCAGGTATGGACGTTGCATTGCCACCCTCCTCTTGTAATTTGCCTTGAAGCAGGCTTGCCTGAGCTTCTTTGTTTCTTCAGTTAGCTGAATCTCTGGATTCTCTTCCATTAGCCTTTTGTGCTTCTCCAGTGACTTCAGCTCCTCCTTAATGTTCTCATCACTTGAACACTTTCCTATCTCCTTCACAATCATATGACATAATTTATTTAGAATTTGCAATCTTTATATATATTCATCAAAATTAATCAATATAAATAAAACTAGCTAAACATTCAAGCAGCACTGCTAAAATTTGATTTTATAATCACATTTTATGTGAAAAAAATAAATTAAATAGCTGTAGATAATATTCTCTTAAAATTTTCAACAAAAAAGAAGTTTTTTAGCTACTATTTTGCATTCATGCACACATTTATTTTTCATAAAAACAACATTTTTCCATCATACATATATTACTAATTTTCTAATTTTAATTTTAGCAACCTTTTGCAGCACAAGCATTGATTCCAAATTATCAAACTCTTATGAAATGATCCAAAATTTATTATATTTAAAAAAAAAAAAACTATGTTACTAATCATAATCATTCTTTTATTGTGTTGAATTTATGATTAATTAATTTTTCCATACACACTCTGACATATGCATAAACACACACAATGAGAAAGAAATCAGCTAAGGTGTAATATATCCATTCATATATATATATATACATATAAATGAATGACCGGAGGCTATTATACGAGTCTCAGCTATCTGTCATGTGCCTAAGAGTTCGAGTACCACACCGTACACTCGGGGGGAATCGAACCTTAGACCAAAAGGGACTTGCAACTAACAAGCTTATGCTCGACCAACTGATCTGAATTTGCGGCACACACATACACACACACAAAGATATATATATATATATATATACCTACACAACAATATGAAGAAAAATACCTGAATATTAGTAATAAGAGTGTTCAAGCTCTTCAACTTGCGATGCGGCCACCTTGTGATACCAAGTTCCCTACACCTTTTCTTAAGCACAGTTAATCCAATATTCATTTCCATGGCTGCTCTAGTTATCGGCATATTAAAATAACCCCTTATTTCCTCTAAACCTAATTCGCATGACCTCATCATCCTCTTCCCTTTAGCTTTCCTTCCCCTCATTAAACTCTTCACCTCCCTCTCCATTTCCTCTGCTGCATTCTCTTCCATTACAGTCTGTGAAGAAATGGTCACTGTGCTCAGCGGCATGGCTTCTGTGTAATAGTTCATGATTTCTTCAGAGCAATGAAGTTTCTCCGAAAATGGTGGAAGGTAGGATATAGGGATAGCTCTGTGCTCCAAGGTTTCAGGAAGAGGAAGAAGATCATAGGAATCGCTGTAAAATATTTTAAAAAATGATTTTTTTTATTGAATACTGCTAAAAACATTAAAAATAATGCATCAAAACATTTAAAAATCTTTACTTTGTTAATAATTGTAGCGTTTTAAAATTCATTGTAATGAAAAAAGCAATTTTTTTTTTCTTAGTAGCGATAAAAATTAATTAATCCGTTATATCTTACATTAATTATGTTATAATTTCTTATAAAATATGATTACATACACAAAAGATATAACCAATTGAAACTTACTTGAAGAAAGTAGGAGCAAAATCTATGAGATTGTTCTCGTCCAAGTAAGGCATGCTGAAAGAAGTCTCTTCAAACATAGGCCATGAAATATAGCTCTGAATATCTGTCTCAATGTCCATTTCAGACTCACTAAATTACTCTTCTTACGTTGAAGAAAAAGACCAGAGATTTCATTCTCATTTATACACACAGCATATTCTCTCTCTACTCTCTCTCCTCTGTTTTGAGGAAAGGCGGCTTAATTAACATTGGAAAAGTAATTAAGGTTCCAGTTAAAACGTAATAAGTCGTGCATGCATTAATTATTGGGAGGAACGGATGCAGAATGGAGATTTGGATGGATTCAACGCATATCATAATCCGAGTTATAAATGCTGGGTGAGATTAGAGAGTGCTTCTTAATTACTTTTAATTATGGGTGATTATAGATATTGGAAGCTCCACTCCGGCCTCTTTGGGCTGTTAATTAATATTTGCAGTTATTGTTAATTAATCTCGAGGACTATGGCCGCCATTTTCCCATGGTGGTGTTTAGATGAAATTTATGGGAATTTTACATTTTGAAAGTTTTTGATTTGTTTGGAAGTCAATGAAGGTGTTTTTGTGCAGAATTATACGAGAAATTATTTCATACGGACAGCGCATGCAGAGAGGCATGCACTATCTGATCTCGACCGTTGATCACAGTTTTTTTTTTTAATAAGGCTCATCGAAATACAGTTTTGCTGTGATCGACGGTCGAGATCAGACAGCGCATGCATCTTTGCATGTACTGTTCGTATGAAATAATTTTTCGAATTATACAGAGCATTTTGGGTGACGTTGATCTTTGTGTTTAATGTTGTAATTAAATCGTTAGATATGTTCAAGAAATATGAGATTAAAGTAGTAATGAAGTTGTTTTTTTCTGAAATTTGATGATAATTAATTTAAATTCTGTTTGGAAAATGGTAAATGATAAGTTGGTTATTTTGTTTTGAAATGTTAACAGATTTGAGTTTAATTGGCTTATTAATTTAGACCCTTAATTTTGTAAGATTTGGGATAGGATTAGTGAAGATCACGTATAGAATTAGAGCTTATTGCGAGATTTATTACTCATTAAAAAAATGGGGCATTTAGATAGATATTACATATTTCTTATGTATTTTTATTTCTAGTAAATAAACTTTCTATTTACAATTATATCGCTTAAAATTTTAATATCGCGTAAAAAATATCACTATTATTATTTTTAAAAAAAATGAAATTACACATTTTCATACATAGATTTATGCATTGGTTTGGATGAACAGGAAGCCTCCTTTTGTGTCAGAATTTAGGTGTTAGATATGTAAATATAAAATAATGTGAGGTGTTGAATCCAAAATTTTCATTGGAAATAGGAGTAGAGAGAGAGGAAAAATGCTTATGAATTATCAATAGAGAGTCCTCAGAACCGACGTCCTTCCATAGTCGAGCCTCCTATTTATATGAGATATTCCTGTAAAATTACCAGAGAGACGAAATATAGAAATAGCTTAATGTTAAAAATTTATATTAAAATTCGAATTCACATATGAAGGTAATCAGCCGACGATATGTTATGGTCGACCAAAGTGTCGAGTATGGTGGGAATCATTTCTATCGAGGTATGAGCGGTCTATCGGCCGGTTGCGTCCGCCCGACAATTAGGGAGCTTCGCTGGTTGAAACCATTGATAGGCCCGCCGACCAGATTATCTGAGGTTGGATTTGCTCAGTCTGTTGACCCTCAAGATGGCCGACCATTATTTGGAATGAGGCACAAAAGGAGAACTAGCAAGTGCCTAATGAGGGCAATTGTCCACTCTAAAATTAAAAAAAAAAAAAAAGTAATAAAATAAATAAATAAATATCACATATAAAAAATTTCCCGCTCCCTCCCTTCCTCTAAAAGAAGTATTTGCCATAATAAATTTGCCCATCCTTAAAAAGGAAGGTTTCACCCTTAATAAGATATGATGATAGGAGGTGTGATTGATATTGAAAGCACCATAGAAGTAATAAATCGAACTAATACAATGTCAAAGCCAAAGAAGAAAAACCTAAAATGTGATGAGCTTAATAAAGTTATAATTCTTCCTTCTCTTAACCATGTAATAAAAAAATTTGAGATCATATTCACCACCTAATAACTACTTTATTCAAGCACTTTAGCAATCTTATTGAAGTCACACACATTCCAAAAAACTAAAATATGATACATAAGTTGTCTTTATG